TTTGTCTCTCGATGTAAAATCTCCATGCCTATCATCGGACTTACGCCAAGGAGTTGAGTTCATAATACAGCCAGCAGACTTTCATGCAACTTCGACTGTACGTGTTTGCCCATTTCGACGTCGATAGAGATGAATCTGTCATCAGAATCTTAAGCACATACGTCTGTCCTTAGCCCATTACTAGTTGCGGATGATGATGGAGTCGGAGTTGAAGGAGTGTGCAGGTTCCGACGAACCGTTACCCTCATTTATGCGCCTTCGACCGGGATAGCTGCAGAGAATGGAACTGAGGCCGAATCTGCGAGTCAGTGTCGGATGGGGAGGGAGAGTGAGAAGGAGAGGGAGAGGGAGAGGGAGAGGGAGAGAGAAACAGTCAGACAGGTGGGGGAACGGTTTAGAACTGAAGAAGGCGGGACAAGAGCAAGATAGGAGGAGGACGCATTTTACATCCTCGTCGACGACCTGACCAGCATCGCACTTGAAGGCGTCGGGGTCGAGCCGTCGACTGTGTAGAAGATCTTCGGAAACCGTTACAAACTGCCCGCAAACTCCGTTCGACCCCACCTGGGCCCCGGCAGTGGAGCACGTCAATGTGATTGCAACCTCTGAATCAGGTCCGAACGTCCCGCCCTGAGCTGCACCTTACGAGCGTCGATAACACTTGAAGCTCTCACCTGGGGCTCGAAGACAGGGCGCTGAAAAGGAGTGAATGGGTAAGCAGGAGGGAGAAGGTGAGGGATAGGGAGAGGGAGAGGGGTGGGAGAGGGAGAGGGAGAGGGAGAAGCAGGAATTGAAAGGTGGGAGGACGAGAAGGGAGAGGATAAGTCGAGAGGAAAATTCAAACAAGGTGGAAGGAGTTCAGAGAAAGACGGAACGAAAGAGAGCAACGTAAGCATCACGGTTGGCATGCAGGAGGCAAAGCAAACCTGAACGACCTTCATGCTTCTCGAGATGTTGAGGCTGAAGTTATGCTGCAAGGGAGTCAGAGAGTTTTGTTGCGAAGGCTCAGCCGTTACCCTTGCTTCACGTGAAGAGTCCTCATCCATGTGCTGTTGAGTATTCAAATATTAGAGAGGTATGCTTCACGAGGTAGGAGATAACAATGGATGTCTTTGAATTGATTGAAAATTGGTCCCGGAGTGTGAATTTGCTCATTCAAGGTCAAGGCAATTGCGAGTTGGGAAGCACAATCAAGAAACATGATGAGATTGTTGCTGATGGGTTTCATGGAGCCATCTATCCAAACCTAACTAGAAATGCAATGTCTGCGACAGCTCCCAAATCTTACATAAGAGAGAAGATAAAACAAGTTGATCTAAGGATACAAGTCTAATCCCGATGGAACATGTTGAACAGGAAAAACAGAAAGAGATGAAGTGATATGGCGGTTGAAAGGAAGGGAGAGGGAAGAGGGAAGAGGGAAGAGGGAAGAGGTTGAGAGGGGACGATGATAACTACGACAGCCGATAGATATGCATGTACGGTATGTCCATGACTGCTGTGCGCGACTCACTGTTAAAGGCACAGCTCCGTTATGGTCCCGTTGCCTCTCTTGGACGCGTGTCAGGTGTTGTAGACCCTCTCCTCCCTCCAGCCTACCATGCCTCCCATGGCTCGCAGCGCTCCCCTTGCCTTTCATGTCTGTCTTGACTTTCTGGCCACAAGACAGTCAGAACGCTCGAAGAAAACGCGAGCTGAGCCTCGGCTACCTCCAGCAGGAACGAGAGGACGGCGGACTGCTTCTGCTCAGCAGCGTACGTCATCTGCGCAGGCTCACAGCTCTCAGCTCGACCAAGCTGGCAGTCAGCATGCTCACAGCTGTCTTCTTGTCGAAGTAGGTTGCCGCCGATACATCTGCCGACCGGTTGTAGAGGAACTCCACCATGTCCCTGTCTCCCCGCAGAGCCGCCACATGGAGCGCTGAGAATGGGTCAGGAGTCAGGAGGAGTGAGCAGGGGAGAAGAAGATGATTGGAGGGAATAGGAAAGGAGGGGTTGACACCTGTGAATCCAAGCTCGTCCACCATGTTCACGTCCGTCCCTTCATCCAGCAGTTTCCTCATGGTTTCCAGGTCGCCATTATTGGCGGCGGTGTGCCACTCCCCGGAGGATATGGGGACCAGGAAAGACGCTTCCTCGTGGAGCTGCGTGGGGTAAAGAGGATGCGACACCGCAGAGTGTCGAAGTCTTGTCGAGGCTCCTTGCTCTCCCACCACAGCCCGAGCTCTGACCTCTTCCAGTCTCCACCGGCACCCATCCAGAGCTTCAGAGGAGCAGAACAGTCCCCCTCCCCCTCGCTCTTCAGCCCAGTCATCGGAGCACAAGAGCTGAGATTGTGTTCTCCTCCTCCTCTCCCCTCCCTCCTCCTCCTCCTCCTGCATCGCCCTGCCTGCCGTGGATGCCTCGGCTCCCATCCTGCATGGAAGCAGGGACAGGAGCCAACACAGACGGGTGGGGTACTCTTCAATACCGGTGCTCTACAGTCTAAATTGTTGATAAAATAGGGGTACTTGTAGTTAAAAGTGAATAGCAGAGGGTAGGGGTGTGAGCAGTTCGAATTTTTTTTGAAGCCAAACTTTTAAACTTTCAAAATGACCTTCAGGCGCCCGGCCCGGGCCCCGGGCCGGGCGCGGCCCGGGCGGTCCGGGCCGACACTGTGGGCCCGAGGGCCGGCTGTGCTGCGCCGGGCACCGCCGTTCATTCACCTCATGGCCGGGCCGCAAGAGAAAGGCCAGCCTGAGACATCATCAGTGATGAAAAGTTCAAGGCCCGGCCCGGCCCGGAGGGGACCGCGCCGGGCCAGCCTTTGCCCGGCCGCCGCGTGACTGACGCCAATTCAGATCCGGCGGACGCCACGACAGCCAGCTAGTACTCGGGAGTATCCGGGGAATTTTAATTGAGGTATCCGAGACTCGGTACAGTGCTGCTTGTCAATGGCGGAGGCGCCGTCGCTTGGGGGGCTGGTCGACTCGCTGCTATGCTGCAGCGGAGTGAATGATCAGGCCAGGCGATCGCTCAGTCAGGACCCCATCAACGACAACTCTTCATGTCAGTACTCTCCTCCTCACAGGCTCCTCCCCTCCCTTCGAGTACCTTACACCCCTACCGTCTTCGCGGTTGCTTCCTTCCCCTCAGTCCTCACTCTCCCCTGCCGCGCGATTGAGTGCTCGGCTCACCCCTGAGTCAGTCATCGGTGACCCTGGTCGTCCTCCCTCACTGCTCGATGCACTCCATCCCCTTCAGAACTCTCCCTCTCACGCCCCTCCTCGTACCATCATTCATATTTTGACGAGCGGGTCAACCACGAACTGTGGGACTGCCGAGAGAGGCTGGGTCATCTCCAAGTTCTCCTCTTCCTACTTAATGTCACAACACCGGTCATACGTCACATCATCTCATATAACCTGAATGGTCTTACACCCAAGTTATGATGTCCCCCGCGACGATTGATCTTTCCTTGCTCGCACCATTCACTCCACACCCCGTTCCTCTTCATCGAATGCCGCCCTGCCGTGGAAGTCAAGCATGAGCAGGTGGCGTTGGGATCAACTTCAAGCCGGATGTCAGCGGAGCTCTCTACGTTCACTCCCTCGTTCCAGGTTTGCTCAACCCTGTAGGCTTTCGCTTCCTCGCTGATCCAACATGGCAGGCTCCCCTGCAGCAATGGATGGCCTCATAGCAGAAGGCGATCGCCTCGAGCAGGTTCTCTCTCAGCAATTCCCTGAATCAGCTGCTGATTGCCGTCCCAGGTCGATGGGCACTATGTATACCGATGCTCGCTCAAGCAAGGTGAGCAGCTGCATCTTTTTTACCTCCTGCTGAATACGGCGGGAAGTCTCTACTGTGCTCTTGGGACGAGAAGGAACTTTAGTCCGGCTGACGATGCAGAGGCCGACGGGAGGAGGGAGCGAGAGGATCGAGACGGTTCTGCGGAGAGCAAACATTAAACGGCTGCGAGCATTTCATGACCCCTATCTCCATGGACAAGGTCACGTCAGTCGCTTCCTCGAGGGTGTTCTGACCATCCTCTTGCTGAGCAGAGCCCGTGTCGAAGCAGCAGACTTACCTGGCTGTGAAAGATCCAGACCATGGCCGCCTCGAGCATCTCCGGTACGTTGGATGCTCGCCTTAAACTTTTCTCACTCGCTACTTTTTACTGCGGTGCGCTGTGACTTGCAGGCTGTCTCGTAGCTCTCCTTCTCAGGTTTGAACTTCTCGAGGACGGGATCCAAAATCTCACCAGCAGCAGGAGCAGGAAAGCGTCCATACAACACCAAGGCACGGAAATCCAAACAAGGAGGTAAAACCTTTCCCATCCGCCTCCTCCTCAACATCTCCTTGTACCCATCCTGTTGAACTTCAGCCCCTTTGCTCTCCACCTCCGGTTGATCCGCCTCCCTCCCTAGTAGGTCCGTCTGCCAATGGATATGAAAAGAAAAGAAAAAAAGGCTGCAGCTTCATGGACGCGCTTTCCTGCTGGATTCCTCTCTAAGAATCAAGGTAGTTCCACATATGGGATATAAAGGTCACATACTCGATCAGCCGGTGTATCTCGTTTACTACGGCCTGCATGGGGAAGAGGTTG